GCAGCAGCAGCAGCAGCAGCAGCAGCAGCGGCAGACCACTGGTCACCCGCAGCCTACACCGCTTCTCAGTTGCCTTATTGCTTCCTCCAAAGCTTCTGTCTCTTTTTCTTTTTGCTCTGCTGCTGCTGCTGCTGGTGCTGCTGCTGGCTAGCTGCAGACGCGCCGCTGCAGCAGCAGCAAGCCCTCAAGCTGCAGCAGAGCCCTTCTTCGAGGAGAAACAGCAGCTCCTTAAGCAGCAACAAACCACAATACTCGCAGCAGCAGCAGCAGCAAAGGCTGCAGCAGCAGCAGGAAAAGCTGCAGCAGCAGCTGCAGCAGCAGCAACTGCAACAGCAGCGGCCGCAACAGCAGCAACAGCAGCAGCAGCAGCTGCTGCTGCTTGAGGCTCTCGCCTCATCGCCAGTTACACGCATACTGGCAACCAACTGCAGCAACTTTAGCAGCAAGGACAGCAGCAGCAGCAACAACTGCAGCAGCAGCAGTAGCTGCAGCAGCAGGAACTGTTGCCCCAGCAGCAGCAACAGAAAACGCAGCAGCAGCAACAGCAGCAGCCAGACAAAAACCGCCGCTTGCAGTAGCAGCACAGCCACTGCAGCAGCAGCAACAATAAATGCAGCAGCAGAAGGAGCGATAAGTGCAGTAGCAGCTGCTGCGGAGAAAGCATCAGCAGCAGCAGCAGCAGCAGCAGCGCCACAAGCGCGAGCAGCAGCAGCAGCAGCAGCAGCAAAGTGCCAACGTAATTAATAAAGAATAAGTGAAGACGCACACTGAATAGAGACCTTGCCCGCAGCAGCAGCACCACCAACAACAGCAGCAGCAGCAGCTGCAGCAGCAGCTGCAGCAGCAATAGCAGCAGCAGAAGCAGCAACAGCAGCAGCAACCGCAACAGCAGCACTAGCATTTGCCCTTTTCTGCGTTTTTTCCGTTTCCAAGATGGAGTTCTTAAAGCAATTCGTCAAGACCCTCTTTTCCAAATATGTGGAGGGTCAGATTAGGGTTTAGGGTTTAGGGTTTAGGGTTTAGGGTTTAGGTTTAGGGTTTGGGGTTTACAACTGGAGTCTAGTTTTTGCTGCTGCATCTTAGCGACTCATTTCCTTCCTTTCTCTTCACTGCTGCCCCAGCCCTAAACCCTAAACCCTAAACCCTAAACCCTAAACCCCAAACCCTAAACCCTAAACCCTAGGCAGAAAGCTCCAAACCTCATTTTCTCCTCTTTGCATCTCCTTTATTGAATTATTGTTTTTACTATTTCTTTTTATTTTATTTTTTATGTTTTTATTTATTTATTTATTCTTTTCTCTTTTTTGAATATTTGAATTATATCTTTTTAACATTTTTGAACTAAAAGTGCTTCATATTTCAAATTCGAAATGAATTGATTAATTAATTGAATTAAATAAAAAATTAAATAAATAATTAAATGAATTGATTAATTAATTGAATTAAATATAAAATAAATAAGTAATTAAATGAATTGATTAATAATTGAAAAAATAGATAAATGAGAATGTTAAAATAAATATATTTAATTTAATTTCCAACATCTATATGGCCAATTCTAAATAACAAATAAATCGAAAAAAACAATTGAGCAATTAAACTAATTCAAAAGAACTAAATTCAACAATAAAATAAATAATTAAATAATTAAATTGAATAATTAAATCAAATAAATAAATAAATTAATAAATTAAATAATAAGTTAAATAATTAAATAAAATAAAAAAAATAAGTAGATGATTAATTAAAGTTTCTGGTGTCTGTACAGGTCGAGGCGAAGATTTGATTTCTTTGGGTTATGCAAAAGGCCTCGAAATAAAAGAAATATATTTAAAGACTTCGGAGATTAATTCTCTTTTGAGGGTTTGTTTTATTTATTTTTAGTTCCTTTTAATTAATTTAATTAATTTTATTAATTTTATTTCACTTATTTTGTTTTATTATTCTTTTTAATTGCTTTTATTTCATCGTTTTTTGGTCTTTTGAAGTGTTATAAATATATTTTAAGTCTTCGGAGATTAATTCTCTTTTGAGGGTTTGTTTTATTCATTTTTAGTTCCTTTTAATTGATTTAATTAATTTAATTAATTCTATTTTAATTATTTTATTTATTTTGTTTTATTATGCTTTTCAATTGCTTTTATTTTTTCTTTTTTTGATTTTTTTGAAGTGATATAAATGCATTTAAAGACTCCAGAGAATATGTTTCTTTTGAGGGTTTGT